GAAATGGTTGGTATGGAAAGGAGGGGTGAAATATGTGAAGACGTGCAGGGGTTAGGTCAAGTGGGACAGCATGCCACACAGGAGAAATGCTTAAAATCCGAGAGCCAGGAAACTTTTGTAAGATTGTTGCGCATATCCTGGCACAACTGTCTTTTTTGACTGGATTTGGATGGATTTGGAGTGACTAGACTAAACCGAGCATCGGAGAGTTTTTGTATGCCACCGTCAGCATGGCTGTTTGGGAGATTTTCGGATACTTCCGTCATGGGCACGTATGGGGACTATGGGGACCGTGCCTGACAAGGGTGGGCGAAGAACTGTTCCACGTAGCAATGGAGCCATGAGACCGAAAGGGGGTTGCGAATACGAATGTTCTCGCCCCAAAATGCTCGATGTGTTCTAGAATTAGCTCAGATTAGGAATCAAAGCGGCAGAAGTAGGTCGGTTGTCGGTTTTTAGATGTTATTTAGCATGCTGGTGTCATGTATCAAGGCTTGCTTGTTCGGACATGGACATTCTTTGACATTTTGCATGATGGATAGACCAAATCTGTCCCAACAGAAGCAGGTTGGCTAAATTGGGGACCTCAAGATGAACAGGTTCTCAGATCCCCAGCTGCGATCATTTCCCTTCCCTCGTCATACTTTCCCAACCCAGTTGAGCAACTGTCATTGTTTCAGTCCATTTTTTGCCCTCTGTCCACCTATCACCTGCCACCCTTGCTATGCGCTTTGTATCAGGAGAGGCTTCGAAACTTGAAGGCCGACGCGCTGGAGAAGGACCTTGTCAACCAGAGCGGTCGTTCTTCTTGGATGTTCGACCAGAACCCGACTCTACAAGTCACCTGTCAGACCTGAAAGGACCCAATCCTGGTAGGTATTACACGTGCATAGCAGCGCTCAGAAGGGATCGAGCAAAAAACGGTAGTACCTGTCGTTTTCGTGAAGCCAGGTGAGACCCGTGTCCATCAAATGCTTTTTCAGGTGCTTTTTCAGGGTGATCTTTCTGATTCCCATCTGGGCGACTCCCCTTTATTTTGGTCTTCACTTCCTTCAGCCTTCTGGAGGCCTGGCTCCAGAGTTGGATTTGAGTCTTCACATCTCTCGAGGATGCTCGACTCCTCGACGCCGAAAAGAAGTTGGATCACTTGGCCAAGGGCATGGGTGCAGAGGCAGGGTCATTCTTCTTCGCGTGGCGACGGAGTAGGCACGACCCTTTAGAGACATGGCTTGGAAGATGTTTGGATGAGATGATGATTTGGAAGATTTTGTTTTTCCCACTCCATGGATTAATACATGTTGGGGATGCTTTCAATCACCAGAATATCTCATATATATAATATATATATATATGCATTCATGAGAGGAACACAGGGTGGGAGTTCTCCTCCCACCCACTTGCAACTACCCAGCTTCCAGTCGGACCAGGGACGGGAGTCCAAATCGGTCGCTTAGAGCGACTGAAGGAGTGGATTCAAGCATTCCATAGATAATCATATACATAATGTGTGATTTATGTTTGGACTCGAAAACGATCGCAAAGAACAGCAAAGATGAACAAAAGCTGCACAGATTTGTGCCAAGATGTTCAAGTTGCTTAGTTGTATATTATATATATAATAGATTTAAGCATATTTATACAGTAACAGATAAGCACAAGCAAATACAAACACATGATCATGAATCTCTAAAGGCGCATGCCTTTATATATATATATATATGTAACAAACAAACAAAACACATAAAACAAAAATAAAATCAGCCGCGCTCCTGATGAATCTGATCAAGAAGATCACCCGGACACCGGGACATCAGCTTGCACCAATCCCCCCGCCCCGTCGGCGCCGCCCCGTCGTCCTTTGGGCGTTGCTCCAGGCCATTCTGGCGGAGAATCGCCAGCTGGCGCGCGAGGCCTCCGAGATGAAGCGACAGGCGCCCACCGAGCACGGGCGCAAAGAACGCGCCAAAGCAGCGAAGATTTTTTTCAAAAAAATGAACATATCTTATGCGTCATGCGTGCTTGCTCCTAGTAGTAAGGCCAGGATAGGAGCCCCTAGTACAGTAGCGTCCTTGTGTCCAGTATAAACGGCACCGTCGGGGGGGTTGGGATTCACCGATGCGCTGGGTTTGCACCCGGTGGGCGAATCGGTCAAGAATGCACTGGGCACCAGGTGATGGTTCAATTCGCCATGTAGGATGTTGAAGTCGTGAACCCCCGGGGTTTTGGCGGACATGTATGGTGCTGGAGTCAGATCCTTTCTGCAGCAGAAAGTATCATATAGAGTCTAATAGACTACATTCTCAGTAGAGATGTTGAGCATTGCTAAACAGCTAACCAGACAACCAGCGGCGTTTCACCTTCGTATGTCCTTCATCCTCCTTCATCCTTGTCTTCGTAGGTGGCGGAGGCCAAGCGGGATTTGTCCGTCTACCTGTCCGAGGCGGTTCGGCTCGCTTCGCTTCTCCCGGTGGACAGGACGAGCCAAGATCGCCCGGGAGAACTCGTGGGTCATACCGTTTGTCGAACTCGTGGGTCATCCAAAGAAGCTTTGCGAAGCTGGTCGCGAAGCTGGGCGGTTCATGTTTGTGGCTTCTTTGGTATTGTTTCTGTGTTGTTCATGTCTGTCTCTTTCGAGTTTCCACAGTGTTTTGTAATTGGTATGTGCACAAAGAAGCGTCTTTGTTCCAAGCAGCCATGGGAAATCTCGAATGGGTTCCTTTGGGCAACATCAACGTGGTTGTCAGGTTGTCGTGCTTGGCGATGCATGGTGGTTTGATGATGTTTGATGGTTGTTTTGTGGGGGCACCCTGGAAGGGCAGAAGTGATGGTTAGATATGGATCTTAGAAGGAACTGGACCAACTTTGCTCAGAGGTGTGCTTTGGTGGATACATAAGCCTTTCCACGCAAACACAAGCCTTTTAAGGAGCTCGATGGATATTTAGTTTGATGGACCAGGTCCTTTCAGCCTTTCCGGGTCCCGACAAAACCGCTGACGGGCTGGCTTTGAGGTTCGGCACCGCCCCAAGGATGTGATCAACAGAGTGGGTGCAGGGTGCATAGCACTTCAATTTGCAGGATCCATAGCACTTCTATGCACTTCTCTACTTCACTCAGGGCCCACGATGGTGTGCCTAGAACTTGAAGAGGCGGCAAGCATCGTCTATGAGAACGACCTCCTCCGTGGTCTGGCCAACGTGTGCCTTGGAAATGGGTTTGGGGTGTGCTTATTTTGTGGATCAAATCAGACTAACAAATCTTGATATGAAGGAAGGAAGAAAAAGGACACCAGCCCATCAGGGACACTCGCTATGCTTTTGGTTTGAGTTTGGAAGGTAGAAATCAGAAGGGTGCTTTGAAGGCACAACAACATTTGGGAAGGCACACCAACATTTGGGAACTTGAAAGCACTGCTGCCAATGACAGGTGCAAGAGAGTGACGGGTGGAGTCGCATGAGTGACGGGTTCGTCGGGAGTTTGAGTGACCGAGAGGTCAATGGAGTTTATGGCTGGGCTGATTTTCTTGTTCTTTCCCCCTGCTTGAAGTGCATGTGATTGGGTAGCACACGTCGAAGAAGGCTACACTATATATAAATGATACTATGACATGTGTATATACATGAGCAACTGCCAAAACCTCCGATGAAGGCAGCATCACTACAGTGAAGACTAAGTAAGTCCAGTGAAAGACACTTTCAGGAACCTAGACGACTCAGCTGAGGAAGCCCGGGCAGCTGAAGCTTGGCTCGCACTGAGGGGACAGGACTCTTTTACGAGAGACCCGGACGAGCATCCCCATGTGAGCCGCGCTAAGAACCTCCCTGTTCATGTTTAGTAGAGGGCTTGTCATATGAATCCTTCGCGTAAGCAAAACTCTGATGTGCGTAAGGTTGCGTAAGCATTTTTTGTGAGATGAAACTTGCGTAAGCCGCGTAAGCAAGTCGAAATTTAACATACCATGTCACATGTATTCTTGAAATGTTTGGAAATTATAGGAGACCTTTGTTGATGAAGCCTTGCATTGGATCTTTTTCTTGGCAATTGGTATGGTCGAAGGTGATTGGCTCCACAGAAAGAGTCATTTATATACAGGACATAGGCATCAGGACAGAGATTTTGTGGGTCGACACATGCAAACATTACTCCTATAGCCATACAAACAACTCCCGTAGCCATAAAGTCTACCAGCAGTTGTCAGACACACTATGTCACCATGCAGTTATCGGTTTTGGTGTCGGTAATACGCGTAAGGCGCGCGTAAGCTTCGCGTAAGCTGCGCGTAAGCCCCCCTCTCTTTTGTAGACGGTGGCCCACGATGCCTCCTAAAAAGCAGGCTTTTTCTGACTCGCAATGGCGCCAAAGGCAACGCATTGTCCAGACCATCTACGAAATCCTGGCTTCTCACTGCCCTACACCCGCGGACGTAACAAACCTGTTGTGTGCTGTGCTTTGCTTGGAAAACAGATGGCGCGAAAGCTGGCGCTGTGGCCGGGTGCAAGATTGTGTTCGCGTAAGTGTTGCGTAAGCCCCTTTGTGTGCAAAGTGTGCGCGTAAGCTGCCATTGTGGTGGCGTAAGCCAGGCGTAAGCTGCTGCGTAAGGAAAGTCTTACGACATAGGCAGATGCCACACGTTTTGAGCACAGCTCATGTGTTGCACGTGTAGACGACTCCCTAAAATCATAGAAGTGGATGGCATTACCTGTTTGGTATTCGGAGTTCATGGTCATCTGAACTCGGGGTCGTGCCATCCATGGACAGGGGGAGTATTTATTTTTCCGAAGCGGACGGACAAGTTGTCCATTTGGCTGGCGTGCAAACTGCATCCCGAAGGTGTACTGACTTAGACACATGCAGCATGGGGCAATGGTTTCGGGTGCGTGAGTACAATCTGACCACTCTGACTAAACTGCTTCTAGACTTTTTGGGGCTCCTCGTGGATGTCTTTTGTAGGAGATCGTTGAGTTGTGTGAGCTAGCTTCAGCTAGGAAACTGCCTTCCCAAGGAAACTGCAAGACTTCAAGTTAAAGGACAAGGTGACCTCCGCCAAGGCGACGGCGGTCGCACCTCGGCGAGAATTTCAGAGAGAGCTTTTTCGCATCTACGGTGGTGGAACCAGGGACGGGGTCTCCCGTGGACTTCCCTGGTGTGTGTATATATTTGTAGGGCTCCAGTCGTACCTTCTAAGAAGGTGGGACTGAGGTGGGTGCCAAGAGGGTCCAGTCATACCTTCTGAGGTACTTGGAGCCCTAGGGTATATATAGTCGACGATCATGTCAATTCTGTTTCATTTGGTGGTGAAAACGCTGTCCGGTTTGGGTTTGAATGCATAGGCAGATATCCATGTTGGGGAAATTGAGGGTTGCGAGAGATTCGTCAAGAAGATGTGTGCCAAGAACCCTGGTTTATGGCAATGCTTGGTGTGCAATGCTTTGGGGGATGTGAGCTACAATAAGCAGGCTTGGCGCCAAGCTGGGATCACCTCAGAAGAAGGCTGAAGTGGCAAGCAGGTGTGCAATGGTTTGCAAGGTTTCCCGATACAAAGGTACACAATTGAACATTCTTAGTGAAAGCTCGCCATAGCTCACCATTTCCGGGTCCCAAACACCATTCATCTCAGCACCCTCATTAATAACCAGCGACTGAGGCCAAGCACCTGGAGAAGGAGGTGGCGGACTTGGAGGCGGAGCGTACCAAGCTCAAGCTCCGTGTGCGACAGCTCTCTGAATTGGCGGCCGAGTGCCCTGGTGGAAACTGAGGGCCGATGGCGGAGGGCGTTCGGGTGCCGCAGATAGGGAGGGGGAGCAGAACAAGATATTATCTAGTTATGATGTATTGTATTGATATTGCCATGATATTGTTTTTGTTTGATTGTTGCTTCGGAAGCAAGACAAGAAGAGATGTGAGATGAAGATGGTGTGCAACCCTTGCCAGAGTCGAATGTGTAAACAAATTTAGTCGTATAGTTTCTATCAATGTGTTATCTACTACTAAGGGTCCAAAACCAGCTTAGCTGGGATCCTCTCGGAATATTTTTTTTATTTCACCCACTTGTTGGTGTCCGCCTTGGCCAACACAACTTGCCATGTACAACATCCAACGGCCGGCAACGGGCGAGAACGGCAATCTTTGGTGGTAGGTTGATGGGTGATATAGCTGGGTGATTGGTCGTGCACTCTCTCGTGATTTTTGGTCTCTGTGGCCATGTGGTCAGCCACAAAACGCTTGCCACGTTTCAGGAAGGTGTCCTTGTTGCATGACTTGCAGCCTGAACAAATGCTACAACTGGAGGACTGGATTTTTGCTGGGATGTGCTGGGATGTTCGCATGCACAAGGAGACTAACTTTTGGTGTCGCCAGTGCAGGAACTGAGGGGTTCCTACGCCAGGAAACTTTATAGTAGCCATAGGGGTGACGCACTATCTGGTCAGCACGGTGATTATATACAGCTACGTGCTCTCAGCCAAGTCTTTTGTTTGGAAGTAGGATTTGTAGGTGAGTTCATCCCCTTCGTTGCACCAACAAGTGATACACACCAAGCCGTTACATACTGCATCCAAGTTGCCGCGATTCTTTGACGTACCTGTTGATCCGAAGGAGATCGCCGCGCGCATGCGCCAAGGGAAGTTGGAGCTGCCTTTGGATGCCGCTGAACGGACATTTGGGGGAAATTGGCACCTGAGGCCCTTGTTTGATCAGGGCAGATCCTTGCTGACATCTTCACTTGCTTTGAAAGTCAATTGGTTTTCAAGGAGTCCATCCTCTCTCCATCCGCTGTTTCTTTTCCCAGTCTGCTGTTCGATCAGCAGACCCCGCTGGATCCGAGGATCAAAGCCGCGTGTTGAAGGAAGAGCGCGATGAGCTGAAGAAACGCTTGAGCATGAAAGATCATGAAATTGCCCAGCACATTGACAGGCACGCAGTTTTACACGTGCCGAGGGAGGCTCTTGGTCGGCAGAAGAGATGGGGTAAGTGGTCAGGTGTTGTAATGTTGTTCATGGTAAGGTAGCAAGAAGAGTAGCAAGAAGGTATCACGCACCATTTCCCCCCTACCATCCTTCTATTGATGCTGGAACATCGTTTCCTGCTTGCTCTTGGACTTCTTTGCAATGAATGGATGAAGACTTACTTGGATCTCCATTTTGGAACTGAAGCGTTCTGTGTTGGCTGCAGACCCCCGCCTTGGACTCCGCGGTGGTTGACGCGGGACCGCGTCTGGAGGAAAGTGGATGAAGTGCTGCAGAAACAAGGAAAGACCAAAGACTTGGAAGTGAAGTTGGAGGCAAAGGATGTGCGACGCTACTAGTAGCAAAGGGCATCGCTACGAACAGAGCAAGGACGCTACGAACGGGGCTCCTGGCCTTACTACTAGGAGCAAGAACCTACTAGGAAGGATTTGCGTGTGAATCACGGGTGTAGGTGCTTTGCGCTTGTGGTGTCGAGGATGAAGTACTGAGGAACTCCCAGAGGGATTCAATGTCGGCCCAGAATTGGCTCATTTTCGCTCTACTGGACTCTACAATGCTGGCAAGGCCTCAAAGCTTGCATAGAGTCTATCATAGAGGGAACGTGTGCTGTGTTAAGTTATATATTGATGTTTGGCTACTTTATGTTGACATATGTTGACTATGTCTTCGCCTTCGCCGTTGACTTGTACCAGCCAATGCGGAAGAATGAGGGGATAAAATTGTTTGACAGTGTTTCTCTCAAGAGCTTCCGCGGTACGAGAGAGATGTCCTTTTGGTTCCTGTGTTCGATACACCTCACAAAGAACCTAGCAACTTCCACCTAGTAGCGATGGCCTCCAACCAAATAGCAATGACGTCCAACCTACTAACGATGGCCTCCAACCTACTAGCAACGGCCTCCAACCTACTATCGATGGCTTTGATCCCATTTGGGGTGACCGTCTCGACGGAGACCACACGAGACTCGACGAGTGGGTGAGTGGCCTCGAGTGCCTGGGGAGACTGTCAACCCGGGGCGAAGCGGTGGCAACACGAGTGACGAAGCGGTGGTACGTTGGAGAAATTCTGACATGTCTCGATCTTGCACTTCTAAACTGCGTGACTGTTGCGGATGCAACCCAAGGCACATGCTACACAGATGTTGGGAACAGCTTGCTGCAATCTCCATTTGAGCAAAGCGCACAAAGACACAAAACAACATGAAACAATTGCAATGACCAGTCTAGGAGTATCCTTCCCACTTTCCAGATGTTAGTCTTTGAGAGGTTTTTCATGGTTTTTCCTCTCTTCGGACTGACTTCTGCTTACGCCTGCGCCTGCTTACGTTGCTACGCCAGGCCATCCAGAAGGACAACGAGATCCTTAAGTCCTCACTGGAGGTTGGGAGTGGTGATGGGACTGGAAGATACAACCCTTGGACCTAATTCCTAGGGATTTAGTCGTACCTTCTCAGGTACGGTGATTGGAGACACGGATATATGTAGGTTTGGAGGGTCCAAGCACCTTCCATATATATTGATCCAATGAGATCCAGTTGAACCACCCCTATCCTGATCGAGAGTCTGTTCTGCCAGCCCCGCTGGTCCTGTTTGGGGTGTGGTTACGTGTGTCGCAAAGCGCAGTCGCTCAGTGGTCGCACAGCGACCAGTTGTTCGGGACACAACGGTTGGCTTTCGAAGTATTTGAAGTAAAGCATCGAAGCAGAAGAAGCAGAAGGGATCAGCACGGGGGACCTGGACTGCAACTCTGAAAAAGACTTCCAATCCCGGTATCACGAGCAAAAACGATGCCTCCGGATGCCTCAGGAATCTGTTGACTGCTTACTGTCCAAGCCAATCATGGACGAAGTTCTAAGTGTTTATGTTTATGGCATAGGACACGATATTTGGTTCTTAGCACTTGCATTTCTGATGGGCACTTCGGTCCTCGATGAAGGCAGCAGTTGACCAGTTGACCATAAACCCGTGGCCGTGGATCGGTGCGGCAGGGTGCTACGAGCTGTTCGTGTTGAATTCGGTATTGGCATTGGCAGTCTTTGACTTGGGTGTGGGTGAGGAAAGAATATCATAACGTAAATCTATAAGAGGAACGATATCTGTACCTGACACGTGTCATGGCCCACGGCGTCACGGGTTCGACGGGGTCATGGCCACTGTGCTCTCCGCCATGAGATGTCGGAGCGGCGAAGCTCACGGGAGCTGAGAGCGTCTGAAGTTGAAACACACAGAGACCAGATGATTTGGGGTTTGTCGGTTTGTCCGAACTGACCTGTAACAGGACCTGTATATAAACAACATGTAGTTACTACTTTTGAACATTTTGAACAAGGCCTGCAACTGAACCATCATCATCCACTGTTACAGGTATTAGTATAGACCCAAGATATGATCCACTTAAGCTAATTGTTCAAGACATTTGCCAGGAAGTGTGCCAAGAGTCCAGAGATCTACAAGCATGCCGGCAAAATCTGCTTTTCTGATGTAAAGGTGTGCGACCTCCATGGTCCAATAGGCACAAGCTCTCAAAGACATCCCTGAGGGAAGTGCTGGCTGCAGTTTTTGGGCCTTCTTCCTCGAGACTCAGATTTCTACCTGCTTCCAGGCTTATCGCTCAGCCTATGCCAACCTCGCCCAGGCCAAGGGCTTGTGAGATCGTTTTAGCAAATTTAATAGAGATCCTTTCACGCGTTTTGCAAGGGTTGGCACTCTTCCAACATGAGTTTGCGGGGTCATAGAGACGTTCCTGAAAACCCTGAACAGAACACTGAACAGAGCTCGTTGTTTTGGCGCTGCGAAAAAATAAGAACCATGTGCCATGTGCTACTGCTAGGGTACAACCACATGCCGCCTGCAGTATGATCTTTGACGCCCTCCGCGTCCTCCGTTTCAGGGTGGCCCGGTGACTGATCCGGAGAGCTTCCTGTCGTGGCCCTGGAGAAGAAGGGAAAGCAGGGAGCGAAGCCGGTCGAGGCATCGTTGAACGTTTAGAGGGCTGCTGTAGTCGTTCTAAATCCATCTAAATCCAAGAAATAGATGCAATTTGGAGCACCGTTTTGGGATGTTTTGGGTTTGAACATGTTTGAACTGTTCCATTTTCTACCTCCAAATGTTCAATTCGCAGCATGATGCAGCAAGTAAAAATATGTTTGTCCCTTCTCTTGTCTGAGCAGTCTGTAGGCGGGGAAGCATTCGTCGGCACTCCAAAGACATCGAAGAAATGAGTCATAAAGTCTTGGTGTAACTCAAAGACTTGGTAACGTCAAGACTTGGCAACTTGGTAACTTGAGTAGATGGCACAATCACCAAGATGTCGGTGGTTTAGTAGTGGATCCCCATTTGTCGACCTCTTAGGCCGGGGTGCCAGTGGAACAGCCTCTGAAACCACGTGTTTCAGAACATGTTCCACAAGTTTTATCGCTGGAATTGGTGGGTTTTCTCTGTCCTCGTTCCGACGGGATCCTTCGTCCTTCACCGACCCGAACGCGGCCTCTCGACCGTGTCGATCCGTAGAGTCGATCCGACGAGTCGATCCGGGCGAAGGGGTGCGCCTGCCGATTCTGGGCGGCTTCCGGCTCGGCGGTCCAGACGTCTTCCTGGTTGGGCTTAGGCTTTAGGCTTAAGGGAGTTCTGTATTGTGTTCTATTATATAGTTTCTTTTGCGGCATAGGTCAGCACAAACTTCCTTCCAGGGTGACCTGGACCGAGTAGCAGATGGACGTGGAACATGAATATGCCTAGGATTCCACCTATAGACTTAGCTGAACAGCAAGACGTGGCTGAACCATGAGACCTTTAAAATGTTCTATTTCTCGGACCTTTTTGTCCGACATGATTGGGGTGTACCAGGTCGACCATCGATGTGTCCTCTTCCATTGATTAGAGCCTCTATAGTGGAATCGCCAGGGTCCCGCCTCCCAAATGAGGCGTTTGGAGGGCTTTTCCAATGGGTTTTCGCCTATCCACTGTTGCTTGCAAGGGATGTGAGTTCTGACAGACAGGGTGAAGACATGCAGTGGAGGTTGGGACACATGTTGGGATCCAAGACATCCAGGCCTTGCCCAAGCGCCTTTCGGCCTCAGGCGGCAGGGGCCACGTCCCCCGCCCCTGCCAGGCACGGGAACGTGCGGAACGGATGACGCGACGCGTCCGTTCTGATGTTGAAATCCCAAATCGGTATTGAAACACCCCACCCCGCCCCATTGGTTTCAAAATTTGTGGTGTTGGTACTACTTTCGATTCCAATCCGGATGAACTTGAAGGAATGCTAGCATAATTATGTTGGTCACTTTCTCACAGGAAGTCGAAGTCACTTCGAAGATCCTGGTGAATACGGGCAGCTCAAGTAAAGGATATATCGCAACTCTATTTGTACCATGTTATATACAGTTGGATCGATTATATTTCATAAAGTATCATAAACATTCATAAACTATATACCATAAACTAATATAACATATAGCTTAAACTATATATCGGTCTCTTGATCGATTGATCTATATATATATATTGATCTATCTATCGATCTATCTATCTATTTATCTATCAACCTACCTATCTTCCTACCTATCTATCTATGTTCAAGGCCAACCCTCACTTTCTGGGTTGCATTCAAAGGTTTTCTGGATCTTGCAGAGATAGATGGAAAGGAATACGTTAATAGATGTTTCGGTGTTTCTGGTGAGCCTCCTTCCTTAGCCTTTCAGCCTTTACCAGCTGCATGCCACCTCGCCAGCTGGGCTGCATCAAACGCCAAAAATCTCCAGGTGCACCACCTGGCGTGCCACCTCCACCGCCAGCACCAGGCGTTGAATGTGATGGTTTTGTTGGGAAATCCCATTGATGTCCAGGAAGGGTCTTTTCGGAAGCACTGCCACAGAGCGCTGTTTTTGTCGCTGTGGTGATTTTTTTCTTCTGTCGCCTGGAGGTCGATGTCCACCATAGCAACCAGACTTGACCCATCAAACCAAGAACCGTCCAGTCAATTGAAGCAATCAGACTTGAGGAGGTGGTGCTGGACTGTCATACTGCTGTTTGGTTCCTGTACCTGAAAGCCCAGTGAGACAGACATACCAGGGCCCCCTAAGGGGTGGTTAATGGACATCCATTAACCTCTAAGGATATATATATATATATTAATTGGACACCCCTCAGGGGGCCCTGGTACATGTTTAAAACATGTTAAGATGATAACAGCACATATGCACAGAACATCACAACTTACACTAATACCCATTCATAAGGGACGCAGGTCCTTTGACTCTTCTTGGGGCACCTGTTTGCCATTGTTGTTGTTGGTTGTTATGATTTAGGCTGTTTGTATTGTGACTGTTGCATTGTGTTTGTTGCACTTTTGTGTTTGATAATGTTATTTACTGTATACAGAATGCAACTGTGTGAAGATGGTGTCCAGGGAAAAGTGGTGGTCTTCCAACTGAATGCGAACTTGTTTGTCCCCATCACGAGCAAGGTTGAGATCTAAGGGTCGAAACCAAAGGGAAAAACACAAGAAATGGTCCTGTTTGTTTCTGGATAGAATCCTTGGATGACGTGTTTCAAGTGATTCCCAAACATCACCGCATGCCACATTGGATTCGGAAGAACTCCAGTGAAGACCACCAGCTTAATCATTTCTAGAAGTGGTGTGGAGATATCATGAGATATCCTCAGTGTGGCAGATGTGACAGTTCGGGTGCAGAAACAAAAACGCAATCACTTTGATTTGGTCTTCATCTCCCTCTCTCTCTCTCTATGTGTATCTGTATATATCTATCCCTCTCTTTTTGGCTTGTGTTTTTGTCATTCAGACCAACTACATACCACTTGTTAAGATCAAACAGCCAGAGTAGAAGTTCCTGACAAGTCAGAAGTGAACAAATCTATACAGCCAGCGATTGAACTTAGAGAGACCCGCACTTTCCGTGACCTTTTGATGTACGTATACTGTAGTGATCCAGTTTGACCATCTGAACTGGTAGTACTTTGACCTTCATAACTATCGTAACTAATCATTCAATCAGAAGATAGAGACCAACATTGTTGTATAAAGACATGTAATGACAGGAGAAGGGGCATTGATTAGAGTTCACCCACTTCGAAACACCCACTTTCAACCCAAACAACTTGCGAGTCGCTCTTCGCTCTCTGCGAGTCGCTCTTCGCTCTAAGGCCAACGCTTCGGCCTGGCCGTGCCAGCGGCGCCTCGGTGACGACGGTTCCGAAGCATTCGGAACCGGGAAGGTTCTTCGACCGGTGGGTCTGGTGGTTGGTGGCTCCTGTTCGTCTCATGACCCATGAGGTCTAAGTAGGGACTGGTTGGACTGGACACATGGCACTACAGAGTAGATGGCACTGATCGGCCGCTCAAGTTGGGTGGGTGAGATCGGACATCTTGGGAAAACGTGCCATCTACTCTGCTCCAGTCAACCACAGTATGTTGATCTTTAAAGGTGACGACTTTGGGGGAGGAGAAGTGCCGGATAAGCTACCTCATGAGTCAAGCAACGGGACCATGCAGGCATGCCCCTGAGGAGCCAGGTCAGCCATAATTGCATGCATGTGGTTTTGAGGGTGTATCAGAAATCGCAGGGAGACTGTCCAATGAAGGGTCTTGCTTGCTCTACTCACTCTTTGTTTCGTCGGTCTGAAGAGAAGACGTAGACCAACACTACACCCCGAGAACGATGGTTCTTGCGTTTCTTGGATAGTTTGGTAACTTGTTTGAAGTTGCAACAACGAAGCTGGATTTGGGAAAACTAGACATCACAACAGACCATGAGATCACCTGACACAACAACCCACCAAAAAAGGGTGCCATCCCAGACGTTGTGCAACTCTCTGGCCTACAGTGGGGCCCGGTCCCTGCTGCGTCCACCAGTGCGTCCTCGACTCAACCGCCCGAGGAAAAGCGCATGGACATCGCATGTTGTGTCGTCGCTCCCAGGTGCTTCCGCGCATCCCAGGGATGCAGCCCTCCGTGTGGTCATCCCTCTTACAAGCTGGTTTGCAATTGCCTGGGCGCCCAGATACACGCCCTTCGAAAGGGGAGGGAGACGCCGAGTTCGGCCTCGTCTTCCGAGTTCGGCCTCGTTTGCCCACCGTGGGGCGGGGTGAAGGCCGAACATGGCTGTCGGATGATGTTGGACAGCTAACAAAAACATTGCGCAGGCTGTGGTTCAACTGGTTCTGCTTCTTTTTGTGCACTGAGAGTCTTTTTGTACATGAGAATGGTTTCTTCCTGTGTGAGAAGATCGGTCATCCATGATTATCCTATAGATCTAGAGTGTATAATATACATTCATTTCTGATTTCCTTCGCTCACATCTGGGAGAAATCGATCCAGCATCGTTCGCTTTGGCCTTTGGCTTTGCTCCTCCAGATCTGTGCTCCACAGCCTCACTTCGCCACGCGAACCACCGCCCCACAGGCCGGCCGAGCTTGCTGATGGCGCTCCGGAGACGGCCCGGAGACGTAGAGACGTCGTTGCCACGTTGGTGGTCTTGGGTGCACTATTCAATGGGTGCTTTTTTGGGGTTGCCACCATCACCAGGTGATCGAAATTCCATTACCAGGTGTCTTAGAATGTCTTAGACTAAGCACCATCGTTTGTCCTTCCTTTGTTTCGCGTGGAGCTAGTCTCCTTGGATCAAGTTCTGCCGTGTCTGCCAGTCCTGCCATAGTCTGTCAGTAGTCTTGCACGTCCGCAGCAGATGTGAAAACCAGTGGTCTCTTCTTTTGCATGATCGAAAACATGGTCGAAACCTATGTCTCGTATGTCTCACTGTTCCGCACGTCTTCACCAACAAACGCTGTCAGCGGGGGGAGGAGCTGGGCCAGATGAACCGGGTCTCGTTCTCCGAAGATGAACCGGGTCCTGCCGTGGAGATGACTGAGGTGTGTTCCCTCTACTGCCAAGTGGTGGAGGCTCTTGAGGACGTTCACAGCGTTGTTGGGGTGTGATCGCGATTCGTGATCAGGCCGAGAAGATAGAAGAAGCACAACCATTCAGAAACAAAACATGTTTTGTCTAAGCAACCTTTCGCAAATGGTTCAGCTGCTGCAGGGTGCCCTATGATGTCCTGACACACAAGGGACCTGCTGTGATGTTTTGATACTCGACTGCATACCGCCAGTGATTTACGGCGGTTGAGGTTTCTCCATGTTTCTCCAACATAATTACACGGACTCTGAAAAGCACTTAAGAGTCTCTGGAAAACCTTCTCCACCTCCTTGCATTCTCCAAAGTCTGCGTGCAGTGGAGATCTCCCTGCAGTCCGCGTCAATCCAAGGTCCGCAGGGGTTGTCAGCAACAGGAAGACACCGTAAACGGGTTTACCATCGGATTTATGCGGCAGATCGTCAGGATGTGAACATGCAAGGGAGCCAGCCACATGCTATCGCATGCTATGGCTAAGACACGGGTTGCCGAGTCCTCAGGTCCTTAGCCGCCTTAGCCATAGCAGGTCCATAACAGGTCCCACAAAAAACCACAGGTCCACATCAGGTCCTTTGCGATCTTGGGCTTGGATTTTGTGGAACCGAATCCTCCTTCCCTTTTGCTTCAGGGTTGATGATGACTCAAGTGCGTGAATTGTGGAGTAGAAGGGTGAAGAGGCGTGAGTCTTGTTGAAGACTTCCAATGAGTGATGTTGAATCATTGACAGTTGGTTAACTCATCACCATCTCATCACCCTCTTCCTCCATGGGAAGCCGAACTGTCACCTCCCTCGACTCCAGGAGCTCTCCCGAGAGCGCACCGTGCGAGCGCATCTTGGGGAGGAAGTGGCCTCCTTTCAAGAGAAGTGTGGATCCCAAGGACCTACAGACCATTTGACGGAAGTGAAGACCTACAGACCATTGATGTTGTGAACGCAAAGATTGGGAAGACTCAAGGCCCAAGATGGACCGGACTCATTTTTGTGGTGATTCCAAGGGCCGTTGACGTCCCCCTCCAAAAACATCAAGATCTGATTTGGCCTGAAGTCCGGTTCTGGGTTCTGGGTGCTTTGGGTGCTTGACGCCGAGAGCTTCCGAAGCGGCGGACGGTCCCCGGTCCGGACGAGTTCACCTCGGTCCGCCCACGGCTGTGGCCGTCCGCCAGGGTGGGCCCGGGGGGGGGTGGACCGCTGCCCCGGACGGCACTTGGTCTCGAAGCGATCAAGCGGATGCTTCGTTGAAGCATGGGGCACTCTTCTTTTCCAAAGTCCGGCGTTGAAGCACCGCAGGGTGCTTTTGCAGAACTCAGACGGGACCTTTTCAAAAGCCGCACTTGCGTGCACGAGTCCCAATGTCCCTCCGGCCATTACGACTAGTAACAAGATTAACAAGAAGCTACTAGTAGCGGATCTGAGATTCCCATTAGTTGTGTTATGACGCCGCAAGCTGGCCAGTCATGCAGGTACGTGCTTCCTTTGTGGAATAGTTGAACAGGGTGGAAACAGCAATGGGGGTCCGAAGGAGCTTGGTCACTTTGCAACATCCTTCTGAAGCGGAGTATTTGTCTTTCCAAAGCAGCATCACACGTTCTGTTGGCATGCAAGTTGTTCTTTCAATGTTTGTTCTAACTCAGAAACCCTGAATAGCAACACGAAATAACACAAACACTGTGTGCATGTATGTTGGGAACAACATATTCCCAAGATCTCCCCAACATTCATTCCAACTTCTCTTCAGTCCATGTGGCCACCTCTTTTTCGAGACGAAACCACCTCGAGTAACGGGACGCCCTGGGACCCGGACGACGACTCGACGAACGTGCCAGGTATGACCGTCTCTTAGCTGAGCAAGAGGTCCTTTACAAGGCGCCCACTGGGATGCGCCGCGAGAACCAACGGCTCCGAGTACCACCGGACGACAAAGGCATTTTTCATCGGCAGAGGGCGTCGCCCAGTAGGTAGGTCTGCGCTGAGTCTCCCTTGAAAGGGTTGGATTCGGAAGCAATTCCTGGGGTTTTCGCACCTGTGATATGTTTGGTTTCCAGATGGTTTGTTAGGAGGTTTGCGGACTCGTACCAGAACCTCCCAGAGAGTTTGCAACCTGCTTCACCCGTCGGGGGGTCCATCGCTCGCATGGGGGGAGGGCCGTGGAGGGCCCAAGGGCAGCTTCCGGTAGAGAGAGCGAGTGGGATCATGGTGTCAAGTCTTTGTTTCAATTCCAAACATGTTGGAAAACCCCAATCCTGCTATGAAATGAGGACCAGCGCAGAAAAGCCTCCATTGATTTCTTCCTCCAGCGCTGCCAAATATGTGTCTGAGAGCAGTTGATTTGGCGGGTGCGGCGGGTACAAAAGGAAATTGCCCCGACGTTCGGTCCATCTAGGTCCCCTTCTCGATTCTCGTTAGGTCCCGGGTCTCCCCAATACAGGTATACAGGACTGGGAACTCCAAGGTTATTCCAAGCGAGTTTGATCCAGGGAAGCGATTTCGTGTGTGCATTCGGGCCACCCGTCGTCTTTTTTTTTAAAAGCGTAGCGAAGGGTTCATTGAGCATGACACAGTCCTCGCAACCTGAGATTGAGACGCATGAGGAGGAGGCCATACGGAATTCAGCAGTTGAATGCAGCGTTCAGCTTAGCCATGCTTAGCCTATCTCTCAGTCAAGCATGCTGCGTGAGCCAGGGCAGCATGAAGCGCACCACACCCTCACGCGACACCGTTCCGTCGTGAAGCCAAAAAGGAGCGGCACCCAGATAAAGTAAACTTTTGGGCTAGTAGTACCACTACATGAGGAGGCTTTTCAATTCAAGTGGGATGGCTTTATCAGTCAAGAGTCAACATTAGGTACGCATCGTATGGCAGCCCGTGTGACGGACCGAAAGCGCAACAAGCGATAGGCACGGCGCACGGGAGCCAGAAAGTGAGCCAGAAAATAACTGTTTGAGGAGTAGGTTGGCTTATCCTGGGAAGGTAGATGTGGATGTTGACTTAACAAGCGCTGAAGCAAAGACAAAGAAAGATACATAGCTACTAGATCAGATAGATGATTTAGATAGAAGGAGAGATACAGCTCGGTCTTTGCATTTGCCAGCAACCAGCATATAACTATATCAATCGTTTCTTTCGGCGCAGGTCAAACCAACTTTGAACTCTCAATCATGTTTTGTTGAGCATGGGGGTTTGATTTCTGGTGCCTCGCTGTAGTCTTACCGGGAGTGAGCCCTAAACAGGATCCTCGGATCCTCTGGCTTCACCAGGACTATTTCGCTCAAAAAGACCAGTGGCTTCGTGAGAGGAAGGAACTCGAGGAGCGAACTGCAAGAGGGCTCGAAGCGTTATGTTTCTATCAACCACTCGTTTTTAAATGTGGAGGATTGCGTTTTTTTGGTGCGCGTCGTGTATTGGATATACGTGTCGTATTGTGTGTGTTGTTTTTTGTGTTGTATTTTTAGTTGCTGTTGTTGTTTATATGTTGTTGTTTATTTTAGTTCCCGGGTTCATGCAATACTCTCATGGAGGTCGGGAGTTATTGTATACTTAATTTGGGTTGATCGCTGGTAGTAACGATGGTAACCCCGACATAGATATTTCACCTATTGCCAATAACATGCAAAGAGTTGATTCGCGGTTTCATTGTCATTGCATGTAATTAATATGCATTTCAATAGATTATGGTTAATTATATGTTTAATCATTTATATGTTTTATCTTGGCATGTTTCTCCAAACATTGGGCCAGTGGGCCAATCTGACATCTCGATATTTGAACATCAACATGCCAAGAGTGCAAGTGTTCGGTTTCCAGATTGTATGTTCCAGGGTGGTTTTTGACCCAGACATACTGTAATACTAGCAATACTCAGACCAAGGAAAGAACATGTGAGCGTTCAGGGTTCTGGCTCACAAGTTTACAAGGCCTCATCAACGAAAATGTGCAGATGGATTGATTGACCTGTGATTTTTTCCGTTTACTTCTGCTGGAATCAATAGTTTGAAGACAGACAATTTCCTTTGCTACCCGGGACCACCAAAGCAATGGAGCTTGACCCTTTCACTATGTACAAGCGATCACAGAGGCAACCGTCAGGTCTCAAGATGAACCAGCAAGCCCTTGTTTTCCAATGCTGTTTGCCTACTCCTTCCTTTATGAATTCTTTCCTGAGCTATGGGGAAGCACCTTAACCTGCAGCTGGTACCTGCTGATGGAGAGAACAATTCTCTCAAAAAGGCAAATCCATCCCGTTTACACTCCAACTCACTAACCGGAAGCGCAAATGAACTCTGAGGGTTAGTCTACCTGCCCAAGGCATTTCCAAACCCATATCATTATGATATTCCCCTGTACACATAGTATGACATTTGCCTGATTTCCTCCACACTCAGGAGCGGTTGCAAGCGCAGGGGAACCTCTACATGGTCCCTGGGTGGAAAACCATGGGGATTGATGGTCCTCGGGTGATCTGGGCGTTGTGCAGAAGATATTCGTCCTGCTAATGATCATGTCTAGCTCTCCAGCGTCAAAAGGTCAGCGTTTGCAACGGCATTGGTCACTTTTGAATGGAAGAAAGTGATGTTTTCTATTAAGACATGCCAGAGAAAAAGAAGGAGCTGCAGCTGATGACGGAGGCCCAAGTGCTGGTTTCCGGGGAGCTAGTGGACTTTGCACAGGTCACTTTCTGTTGGTTCATGGGTTCAGTGAATCCTGATGCAATGTGTCAAGACAAATACTGTTTGCAAGTCTTCCTCGTTCATGGGTATCCCTTGACGTATTCCTCAGACCCACCAACAGTCTGAAAAGGAGACTCCCATAGACTAAGAGTTGTGCGCGGAACAACACCACATGGGTGCTTACACCCACATCTATTCGGTATTATTCCATTTGGCCCGGCAACATGGTCAACATCAGCTTCCACCAAGGACACATTGATGACAACCTTAGCATCTGTGCAACCTTCAACTAAAGCCTTTTTGCACCCGCAAAAACACCGACTGGCGGATGTCACAGAAGAAGCCGTTCTTTGAACTGTGACAGAAGAAGTTGTATATGGTCCTACAGAGTAGATGATTCTCATCATGTTTGCCTTTGGCTCCTCCAGAAGAACTCGGAATCTTCAAGGATCATCATCATCATCATCATCATCATCATCTCCTCTTGGTCCAACAGAATCCGATCCAGTTGTTTCTCTCATGTTTGAGGGCTGTCGGCAGATTGAGCCAAGGACAGCATGAAGAAGTGTGAGGTCCAGGAGGAGCAGCTGAAGATTTGGTGCTTCGGTGATGATTTTCTCGGTCGCATTGCGGGGTGATGGTTGAGCCCCGACACATCATGGACGCCCCAAACATACCCCATGTCAACATATATAAAAACCGGTTCTCGGTGTTGACTTCAGCGCAGACGACGTTGGAGCAGACGACGTCTGCAACTGGTCACCCAATACACTGGATCACTTTGATCACGGCCCTACTGCTTCACCCTGTAGACGGTGAAGCAGCAGTTGAGCGGCTGCGTCTTTTTTTGCGCCAGAGTCTTACGACGCGGCGTGGTTCGCCACGCTTGCGTGGCGGATTGAAAGAACACCCGGGTCATTTAAAGTGACCCTGAAAAAGAAACTAGTGTGACAAATATGAAGTTTTAATGAGGTGGAAACAAGAGGCGCGTGCTCTGAGTTGTCCAAAGTTAGGAAGGACACAACGTTTCAATTGTTGAGTTTCATCCTAGATAGCCAGCCAGCATATGCCAGCATTAGGCATGTGGGATTCTAAGGTGTGTCTAGCACTAACCTATGCTGCGTATGCTCCATCAACCACCATCATTTGGAGAGACATTGTTCTGCATTGATGTTGCACCGCTATAAGCTCTATCCAATTTCAGCCACAAGTTTAGGTTGCCGTTGCGGTCGCGGCCAACACAAAGATGACAAGTATTTTTGTATATAAATGAAATTTGTCTATTCATACAATTAAAAGGTTCATTTATATTATACAGTTATCATTTGATAATTCATTAGCAAACATACCGTACCGCAATATAGACTATACTAAAACGATCCCATTATGATGAAAATTATACAATTAACTGCTGTAGGTTTAAGATATTCTGTCTTTCACAACAAACTTGTTGCTGGTTCTGACTGTTTGTTGGTTATGTGTGTTTTTCCTTTTTATCATGATTCAAGATTCAAAGATAAATAGATACACAATGATAAACATGAGACTAGAAGTAATGAAATATCAAAAACAGCCAACCAATTCAAGCATTAACAAGACATATATATATATATATATAAACACGGCTTAAAAGGACCTTTCATTTCGTGACACGGTGACCAAATCGGCCCAGGCAACGTTTGGAGGTGGGCGGTCCTGATGCTTGGCCGGTGGGATCGAGAGGTCCATGGAGTGGAGCCCATGTGTGTTGGGCTTAAGTCACCATGCTGAAGTGTTTGACATCATGTCTATGTCTATGTTCAGTTGTGGTTGTTCAGTTGTGGCTGTTCTGCATGTCTAGTGTTCATGTCTTTAACTTATTTTGTGCATCTTATCTTCAGTTTGCTGCGAAAACAGGGTGCTCCGTTCGGCGAAGAGAATGTCCAGGAGGAAGGTGTTCACCTCCGCTCTGCATGTGTGTGTTTACACCCGGGGTCCGCCCGGTATCTACCCACAAACCTACAGGGTTCAGTCCAAACAACCAGGAGCTGCTCTTGGTGGAAGCTAACAGCCTCACGAAGCGCCGAAGCGCCCTTTTAAGCCAATGAACTCGTGATTCGAGAAGCCAGTTCCCTTGGTGACGTGGTTCCTGTGGCTCCCCCGACGTGGAGAGAAGACCACGTATACGTGTCAGCACGAAAAGCACCTGTGAAGCCTAGTCTATTCTCAAACCCGAATGTCAGCTGCAATTGTGTGAAAGTAAGAACCCTGATCCATTCAATCTATTGCTGCGTGTGTATGCCGTGACCCATGGCTGTGTGACAATCCCCTGTCAATGACACTCACAACTAGAATTCATAAGACACAACAGCCACCTGAGCATATTCCTTGAACCTGGAGCAGCGCCTCTGCAGGGAGTAGAGTACCCACCCACATATATAAAATCATTGATGCTTCGACGATGTGGCGCTGCCCGGCACTTCTTTTACACAAGTGCTGCTGAAACACCACCACCACCTGGGGCTGAAGAACCACCACCCTCCCCTTTGTTTTCCACAAGGGACCCAGTCTTGCTCCCAAGGAAGGCGTCTTGCGTGAGGAGTTGATGCAGGCCATGACCCGTTGCGCGGCGCTGGAGCAGAACGAGAGTGCACCTCGGCGGCGCTGGAGGTACGGCGCGACGCAGCTGGCGGTACGGCGCTGGAGGCGAAAACGAAGATGGTGATGTTCACCCGAACGCAGCTGTGATGAACATGACCTGCCAGGTGTGTGGTCAAGTTATATGATCCATATACATCATCCATATATTATGATCCGTTTTGTGGGTGTGGTTTTGTGGGTGTGCGAGAGGTTGTGCCGTTTGAACATTGTACGACAAGCTAAAAAAGAAGAGTCTTCTTTACTGAGCATACAAGCTGTTTGCCACTGGGCATCAAAGGCCCAAAGAGAGGAGACCCTGTTGCCAGTTCTGGCACCCAAACAACAGCACAGCTCCAGGTCCACAGTTGAACCAAAAAAGGCGACGGTCCCTGGCTGGCCAACACAGAAGATACATGGCATCGTGCTTCGCTGAGGTCTTGTCCCGGAAGTATGAAGCTGAGAAGCAGAACCATGGCATCGTCAAGGCGCGAGGGACACACAGCGCGGACGCGCGGACGTTGCGCGGAACGCGGGTGTGGACACACAGCGAGCGAGAGGGTGTCGTGTCGGGGAGGGGAAAGATTGCGACTGGTGACTGGAGTGCTTATAGAATCTGGAGTGCTTGGAGTGCTGGGCCCCTGGACGTTAGAGTTTGTGGGATGCAAGCGGGAGCAAAGGAGTGGGAGCTTTTTTGTATAATAAAGAAGAACACATTCACATGCATGGAATGCAAGGTTAGAGTTGAAGAGCCCAACATACCTCCATGTTCTGATGTTTTCTTTGCCCAAGCATTTTTCCTTCGTTCGAGCGACTCGAGCGCCCTCGATGCTCAGGACGCCTTCGACACGATGCAGAAGGACTTTTTGGAGCGGGAAGGCCGAGCTCGCCAAGCTTGCAGAGCATCTTCGCGCCATTGTTCTGAGCCGACAACGCTGATGGCTCCTCAAACAATGTGAACAGCTCAAGGTTTGCATTTCTAACCGCCTTCCGGCAGTTCACTGTTTGACACACCAAGGACCTTCCCAGTTCCCCGCCCAAACCATCCCGGGTCAACCGCGCACGCGGCCGCCACGCAAGGCTTCCTGAAAGAACGCTTCTCGAAGGCCATCCTCTGGAAGCGGCGCTCGGCCAATGCCCTGCGCATCGCACGGCGGAAGATTCAGAGCATGGTGGTCACTCGTCGGAATTGCTTTTTTCTCGTGCGCTGCGGCGCTGCGTGGGTCTTTCTGGGCGCGGGGATCTAGCTTTGACTGCGCAAATGTCAATTCAATGAGGACATGTCAAGTCAATGATTAAATGTTTGAATCATGTATCATCAGACACTTCTGTGCATACCTACAAGCATTGTGGCAATTTTTCAGGATGTCGCATTGCGGTGGCCAGCAGTTTCACTGGTGTTCTTTCTGATCAACCTCGTTTTGGCGACACAGAGATGATTGTGCAAGTCTCAGGTTCATAGGTTCATGAGGACGTGGACATCATCCTGGTTTTTACTCGAGCTGACCCTTTTGTACATGCTACTAAGATTTGTTGTAGAGTTGATTCCACGGTGGCTCAAAGTTAGATGTCTACATCCCTTGAAGTAATCATTGAAGTATGGCCCGGATATAGATGACCATTTTCCTCTACGTACAGTACACATGGGTGGTTTTCCACTTCAATGAATTTCAGGGAGTGTAAGTCTAAGTTCTTACAGTTGTTCATCACCTTTAGTGACTGTGGGTCTTAGAGTTTGACCAAGGTGACAACACAGTTTATAGCCTCCATCATCGGAGCGTTGTTCTAGTCCCAGCAATGTCAGGATACTCTTACGTAAAGCAAAAATTGGCTGGAGCCTGCAGGACTCTTAGTGAATCAAAACATCCATCAAGATCTAACTACCATAAGAATTTGACATCCCAGCTCTTTGACTGACCAAGCAACCTTAACCAACAAGTTGATCAATCCTTACCAAAGATAGACCAAGGAGAGTAACATCACCAACTGATGTACTAACTGACCAACTGCAACCAATCCAAGTGACGAACATCAACCAATCTAACTGACCCAGCGGCCTTTTGTAGATTTACCAAGTCGGACTCTCACTAACCTAATTGCTTCCATGGCCATGCTTTCTCTCCAAGGCGGGCAGTGACTTCGAACGAGCCCAGCAACAGCTTCAGGTGTGGTTTTCACTGGTGGGATGCGATTCCGGGTCACCCACCAGGTGGCGGTTGCAGCGACCAGGTGTTCTCTACTATCGCGCCATGCTAGCGCGATGTGTGGAAAACGATACCTTTCGGCATAGCCGAGCACCACCATTTTGGCGTGGTACCGTGATGATGGTGATCGATGATCTATCTCATGAGGTGCAAACTTCGGCAGTGAGACATCACCGTCTTTCTGACAGGAAGCCAAGCCATTGGGATCATCCCTGCAAGCAACACAACATGCTTTCGAGCGATGCTTTCATGTGCTACATCCTGATGGCAGGTTCACCTGGACCTCCATAGATGACTAGATTCAAAAGCTCAAAGTGGTCGACGCTCAATTCTAGGACATCCAAACCAAACTCCCGGACACTTGGAGACTGAGAGCTGGGGCCTTTGAAAACTCCGCCCTGAGAAGAACAGCAGCCCGGAGAAAATTGGGCGGTCCCAGTTTGGCCCAATGCCTCACCAGCCAGGTCATGCTGGGTAAGAACATACACATCCTATAGTCCAATTATGTCCTATTATACTGCGCTTTGCTGTTTCCTATGAGCATCCTTTCTCACAATAGCGATGGCCTCCAACCTACTATATAGCGATGGCCTCCCCCTAGTAGCGATGGCCAAACCTCCTTTTGGTCGCGCTCCCCAAACCTCCTCTTGAACAACTCTTTCCGGAGATGTCCTGAGAGGTCCAGCGGTCCTCGCGTCCGACCACCCCGTCAGGTCTGTCGTCAACGGGAATTCGACCTCTCCAGACGTGTCACCGAGCTGACGATGCCGCTTCGGCTTGCGGACGGGTGGTGCGGTGCGGTGCCGTGCGGTCACGCCCGGGCGAAGAAGAACGTGAGTGGACGGGTCGCTCACATGGCGGGCCCTGCAAAGAACTGACTGGGTATTGACTGAAAAAGAAACAATGATAAGACTAGCCATTTTTACCCTTCCTTGAAATCATGATGGAAGTGGACAATGGCCCCTTCAAAGACCATCTTCCTCTTGATAGGAACATATATTGTATATTATATGTATATATATAGTCATAACCGACATAAGTATAGATTCATATGGATTATTCTACTAGCATATAGCCACTATATAGCCACAGTTTTTGAGGCGATGGTTTGGACTTTCGTTTTCGAGATTTGACGTGATTCAACGTGATGAACGAACTGGTCCGTTTCTCCAGTTTTCTTCCATGGTGGCAACGAACCAGTTCTCAAGCGGTTCTGTCGCGCTCTCAGGAAGGTCTCACAGCAAGAGGACAAGTTGCGAGACATGATGGACCTGCAAGATCGCTGTCACTTGGATGCTGAGGATTTGCTGGGTTGTTTGGTTGGAACCCGCCCCTTTTTTGAAGCGTTCTATGATAGACGATAGATGATTCAACAAAAGGGGACTAGCAAATGGTGGGCTGCAGGTGGCAATTGTGGTGCCAGTGCATTTTCTGGAAGCTTGGATTGGCTGCTACCGTGAGGGTTGACGAATAGATCATCTTGAAGAGTTTCTCTTCATGTTTCTGATTGGTATCAGCGATTTTTTCACATCTCCACTCTTCTGCACCTGGTGGGGCGACTCGCTCCCACTCCCCACCTCGCTCCGCGCAGGCCGCAGCCTGGACCATTTGGTGCGCGAGACGGAGCAGGTATGCGCGGTGGTGCATGCGGTGGGAGGGATGGAACGAGGGCGGCGGCGACATGAGGGGTTGAACCGGTGAGACGCATGAGAGGAGGGGCCAGACGAGGTTCAACCAGAGTTGATGTGTTTTTTTCCGAGTTTTGGATGTCGTTCACCTTGGGAAAGAGAAGAGCTGAGACGACGGATGCAAGACGGGGTGATGACGTGGGCCGTCTTCAGATGTGAAAACGTGACTGGGTTTAGATTCTACTCCTTGTGGCAGGTAGAGATATGATTGTAGAGTGCTTAGCTTTTTGCTTGGCCTGTGTTGGTCGTGGCCTACCAGCATCGCGGTCATCATCGCTGCCATTGGATCGACATGTCAGAGTCTTCACTCGCCAGGTTTCGATGTGTCCAGTTGCCACGGTGGTTAAGACTTTGGCGACTGAACTCGTCGCACCACACCACGTCTTGCGTTCTCCATCACTCATCCGTGCCGATTCCGAGACCGGGCCAATCCGCATGGGTCTCCCTGGTGACTGCAGCCGGACTCCAGGAATTCACGGTGCTGCGCCGGCGCCTGCAGCAGAAGGAGCCTCGCTTCGCCGCGGAGTGTGGCCTTTTTGCGCGGCTCACGGCGGACGCTTGGGCAGTGGATGCAGACGGCCGCGAGCTGCGTGTGCGTGGAGTGTTCTCTCAGAGCTGGGCTGATGGAGTGGAGGGTTGAGCTGTTGAGCCAACAAAGGTTGCAGATCGTTGCAGGGTGTTTCTTCAAGGGTTTTGAGCCCCCGAAAAGATCTCAAGATCTCAATGGATAACGTGATTAGAAGGTTTCTCAATGGATTCGTGATCTCAATGAGTGTGTTACTTTTGAGCTGTGGCTTGGGAAGATCTTCATATATATATTTGAAATACCTGTAGCCTCGTGTAGCCTGTATAGTGCTCTGTGTGCTGGGTTTGACAGCTTGGGCAAAAAACATCCGTGGCCGCCTTGCACCGGTTTACCGGTCGATTGTTGATGGAGGCATGCACCCCAATGGCGCGGTCGTGGAGAGCAGGCTCTCTCTTGCACTGATCCAAATCTGTGTCCAGACTTCATGACTAGGATGGACGATTTTGGACGTGTTTTTGGTGTGTGTGTTTGTTTTTCCATCATGTTCCCCCCAATGTTCACCACCAAAAAGGCATGGCCAGAACAACCCGTCCCAACACGTACACCGTCCACTGTCCACCAACACCGGCGATGTGCTCACCTCTGCGTCCGACAAGATCAGCGACAGAAGGCACCCGGTGCCGTTGGACTAAGGAGCTTCAACGAACTTTGGGTTTTGCAGGCAGCTTCGAGGCGGCCGGCGGCCGAAAGATTTTGTTGAAAGCGGGTGAGAAACACCGCTGGGAGGCCGTAGTCATTCTATCAATCTGAAATCTGAATAGTTTTTGGGATACATATTCACCTCGACCCCGAGACCCATTGGCGTTTGTGGTTATTGCCCATGCCCCTCGTGTAGGAGTTTTTAACCATCTACAATGGGCTGAAGCCCTATTTTGCCAGATCGCGGAGTTTGGCGCTTCAGGCGGCCTCACGAGCACTCAGCTATAGCGAGGCCCGTGTGCTGGGCGAGGACAAGACGGAGCAGGTGCAGGTGCCGGCCTAGTGGGAGTATGGTGCCTTGTAGGGGGAGCATGGGGAAGGTGAACAAGGTGGAGTTCACAGGACTGGATTTTGTCAAACCAACTGAACCAAGTCAAGTAGTTGAAGTGAAGACGCCTACATTGACCCTGAAACCACCCCAATGTAGGTAAATAGGTCATACATGGATGGTTTGGGTATCTGAGATATGGGGATCTTTTTTTGGGGGGTAGCTTTAGATGGAGCTGCAGCCGTGATGACTAGCTGTTTGTAGCACAATTTGGCCAGGCTGAATGACTTGGAGCATAGGTGCAAAAACTTAGACATTCGACGCCACTGCCCAATGGTCGCCTTTGACTCTTTTTAAGTCAAGTGACATATCAGCTAGTAGACTAACACTTGCACACCTGACACCATCAGACACCAGTGTTTGATCTTGTATGGCCGGGCCTACTTGCTACGTACACAGTTCTTCACAAAATCATGTAACATCTTCGCACTTTCCGTCGCACTTGAGCAAGTCGCACGAAGCTTCGCACAAGGTCCTGAATGTCGAACTCTCCTTAGATGAGAAATTACGTCGGGGCACCTGGCGGTGGGGCTCAGAATCAACCGGGGGGCCCAGCTCGTCGACCACCGAAGCGATTGAGGAATTGGACTGGAAAAAGTGGACCCCATCCTGGTTTTACTTCAAATCGAACTGGTCCAATCCCCTTCCGAGGGAAAGATGTTGTGGCAATTTCAAGGTTCCTGATACAAGCAAATCCAAGCCAAAAAAGGGATCCTTGTTTTGCTTGGTCCGGTCCTCAGTTTTGAAGGCAATCGGACCGAGATGTGCTTTTCCACCAAACCACAACAATCCTCCACTGCCCAAGGCCTTCCAGTCCTGGATTTCGGTCCCTGAAGTCCTTGCAACGTGTTGTGTTGTGTGGAGTCCGGTAGGGCGGGCAGAGGACCAAACTCTGTCAACCGGAGGTCTCATAGCCTTAAAGTTTTTGCTTGTTTTTTTTGTTTCCAGCGCACGCAAAGTACAACATGTTGGACCACCCTTCAGAGAAGAGACCAAATTCAAAGATGCAAACACCAGACTCACCATACCTGGTATAGTTTTTAGAGGTTTAGTTGCTTTGCTTCAGGATATAGGATCGAACATAGGCTTATGATCAGTGATGGTATTTAGCCTACAGAATGGTGGGGGTTAACCCTCCTACAGAATGCACATTTAGTAGTAAAGGGGTTTGGTCGCACGACCCCTGTGGTTGGGATGCCAGCATTTTGTAGGCAGCAAGAGGGTTGGGTGTACTTATTTAGTAGGGAAAAGAGAATGCACGATTTGTGGGTTGGGTGTACTTATTTGGTAGGGGAGGTCCTTCATTTTGTAGGGAATCATAATGGATGGATATGGGTGGTCAAAAACTATATAGTAAATAATTATAGTATCTCTTTCCCCTACAACATATTCTATGAACTAGGTTAGGCAACCCTTAGGACCATTTCCTTTGAAAACACATACTATTCAAACAATCTTAAACTTAGATCTTTTCAAACATGGTTTTAAACGGCTTAAAAACATCAATGGAAGACAGGAACTGAAGGAATATGACCAGGAAAATCACTAAGAATTAAACATTAACTAGCTTTTTCTACACTTTTTCTCCTCTCCCCCTGTCTCTGTGTCTCGACCCTTTACGGGGGGAGGCCCCTGTGTCCCGAAGGCGGTCCCATCTCTTGGGTCCCCGTGGGGGGACTCGGTCCTGGTGACCACCGACCTGTTGTTCGGACCCCCCGCGACTTCCCACGGTCAGAACCGGTCCTCGCGGAGCTCCCGGTCTCCCAAGGGCCGAGACAGGGGGAGAGGAGAAAAAGTGTAGAAAAAGCTAGTTAATGTTTAATCCTTAGTGATTTTCCTGGTCATATTCCTTCAGTTCCTGTCTTCCATTGATGTTTCAAGAGTTTTGAGGCCATTTCTTGAAATTTAGATTTTTTTGGAAAAATGATGAAAATTCCATAATGTCTAGACAGTTTCCTGGTCAAATTCACTACCAAATGAGTAGGCCTTTCCAGACCGCGCCCCATTTTGTAGCAATCAGTGACCTTGGCCCCCTCCATTTTGTATAATTGGCCTATCCCCTCCCTACAAAATGAGTCCATTTTTTTTGGAGTCATTTTGTAGGGATGGGACGTTGGTCGCTGACATTTTGTAGTGATTTTTACTACCAAATAGGGACCCCGACCCCTCACCCCAATCCTATACTCCATGGCTTATGTGACCACCCCAAATGTGAAAACTGCTGAAGCAATCCTACGCCCACCTATCTTTGTACATACTGAACTCTGTGAATTCTGGCGGACTGGCGACTGGCGGACTTCTTCTCCCATATAAAGGGGCCCCCCCCCCAATGACCCGTGACAGGCCGCAGCGGCCCGGAGCGGGCAGGTGAGTCGATGGAATCCCCGGTCAGGACGGATGTATCGGTTGGATCCTCTTCGCTTCATCGGTTGGATCCCAGATCCGCACGAAACGCGACCATCTTCCTTTTGCCGACCGATGCTCACCCTCCCCACCCCCACAGTTCGACCTTTCGGAACGACCTTAGGCAAGTTGGACAGCAACAATGACGGCTTCATCGGCCTTCCGGACTTGCGACGCTTCTTGGAAGGTTGGGAGACCCCAGCCGGACTTGCGCCGGGGGGGGGAGCCCGAACTGCCGGACTGCCGGACTGGCTGGGAGTGGAATGCTTGGGTGAAGCCGGTTCTGTTCGGTTCGGTCCTTATGGGCCAAATGGTCATGCATGGTGATGGTCAGTGGTCATCCTTTTTGTTTCATGACCAATCACAGCAGATGCAAGAAGCAAGGATACTTTTTGAGTTTGTTGGCGACAGTGACAATGGCATACAGCTTCATTGATGAAGGCTCATGTGGAGAGAGCTGTCATCGTTTGGACCATCGGCTCATCTTCAACACTCTCGAAAGGTTGCCCGCTGGCAACGCTGAGAGCTGCATTCAGCACCTCAAAGTCTAATCCAACCACTCGGTTCACATCCAACATCTCAGCAACGGAGCTATGTGGATTTTTCAGGTCCAGAGCATTACTATAGTAGCTTCTTGTGGCTGTAGTAGTGATGGCCTCCAACCTACTAGCTTCTTGTTACCACTAGTAAGAATGCATGGTTTTTCCATCTCAGAAATGGAGTTAGTCGTGGATTTTTCAGGGCCAGGTCACGGCGCAGCACCCCAGGCCTGGCGAGGTTTGACCCCACAGGTCATTCAGCGAACAGGTCATTCAGCGAAGCCTGGGATAGAGGAGCGAAGCCGGTTGGTTTCATGTGGTTTCGCCCAATTGTCGTTCGTGAACCCCCCAGGAACCTTGGAGCTCCCAGCTCAAAGACTACGGACGAACGCATGTACACTCTGACGAGTGCGTCACACGCAAGTGGAACATAGGTGCCTGGAAGACCATTTTGCTCTACGAGCAGGGTTTTCCCCTTCCATGTCAATGAGCGGGAGAGTCAACCACACCTTGTCACGTCTCACACTCCCTTGCCTGAGGTCTATCGATCAAGATCAAGGACTGGCTGTGGACATTGACGTGTGGTCATGTTTGTTGAAAGATTTGAACGGTACCCAAATGACCCTGCAACCATTTGATAGAGATAGAATCACTCTTCCAAAGCTGCTTAAGCTGCAGAGTACCCAGGTATAGAACAGTTAAACTTTCCTTCAGACCTTTCTGGCCTAGTTGATAGTTCCAAGAGGGAGAGACCCTGGTTGAATGGGTTTTGGTCATTGATCCTTCTGCCAGGTAGTCTTTGTGACCCCATTGTGGCGTCATTTTTACAGCTGGGGGTAGCTTATCCTCAGATGCATCACAGGGGCAGTGGATCAGTCCCCCAATCAACTCATGCTACCAAAATGAGTTCGGTCTCAGCACCTCCAAAGCCTTGATTCACAGAGTTCTGCGTGTCAATGTTCCGTTGGTGTTCGGGAATCACATGACTGATGTTAGTTTAAGAGAGGATGCTCATTTGAGCAACCGCCCCAATAGTGCAATTGTAAGCAAAGAGCGGTCGTGAATTTCAATTGGGCTAAAAGCTGCAAAAGCGAAGGCCCTCCTCAACAAAGCCACAACCATATTTCAATTTTTTCTGCAGTTTTTGGATATGTTCAGTTATATGTTGACACTGTGGCAAAAACATGCAACAACACGACAATTACAACCACCTCAATGAAAGCGATATGTCCTCTACTACGCTTTCATCATGTGCTGTATACGCCAGACCTTTTGTACGTTTGGGCAGGCAGGTTGGCTCGTTCTTTGGGGTGCAGGCGTTCTGTGCTTCGGAGGACGAGGAGATGCAGCTCCTGGCAGACGCACTTCATCCCTCTACGCCCTTGTTGCCCTCCGTGCCACCACCGGCACCCCCAGGCAGGTGGTGCGACACGCAGGGAGTGCAGGGGATGTTTGGTTTGTGTTTTTTTTCACCATCAAACTCCTTTAGCCCTCTATAGACTATAGACGTCGTGTGAAGGTGGAGTAGATGCAGTGACTGAGCCAAAGCGAGAAAAAACACAACGGGTGCTGAAAGCAGCCATAGGAGCCGAAGAAGGACTACTACTAGGGTTGGGTTAAACGGCGAGAACACCTCGGTGTCGGTATACAATTCTTCCGGGCACAGGTCATCCCGGGATTTGGACATTGAAGGGTGAGCCTGTGTCTTCCGGGCAAGGCGCCTTGCATCGCGGATCGCTTTGGGAACGAGAGTACTTTCACCTCCACACGGCAAGCCAAGCTTTCTTTCGTTTGGCACTGCGGGTCGACCTGTTGGAAGGACCGACTGTAACAGCGTATCAAACAGTCATGTTCCCTCCGTCCCCAAGTCTGCACGAAGACACCATGACTTTTGCCAACCTCTCAAAGAGCACGAGCATCGGTCTTCGGATGTGGCTAAGCTGACAGTGAGCATCGGCTCAGTCGACCAATCATGTTGGTCGACAGGAAACCCCAAACATTCAGTCTGTGCTCACTGCCCACCATGGTGTCCCGTCCTCGGTCGCCGCCGGGGAAGAGCCGCAGAGACGCACAGCGTGTTTACTGGTTCGGGAGAAAACCGACCCGGGGAAGGCAGGCCGACCTGGAGAGCTGCAGAATGCTGCAGGCATTGGTTTAATCTTCTTGGTCAGTGCTGTAGGTATATGATAAGGATTAAACCAATGCTTATTGGTCTATGATATGTATATTGGCATTGGTTTAATCTTCTCCATGATATGATTTTCCATAGACATGGAGTGTTTTCTGGCTTCGAAGGTTAGAGGCTTTTCTCAATCCAGGTCATGTCCACCTGCTCATGCCCCTTTGAGCCTCGGATCCTGCCGCGTTGGTCGTTGGTCGTCAGGGCAGCCGAGTCCGCCGCCCCCCAGCCCTCCAGCGCCAGAAGAGAAGGCGAGCACCTGGGGGTTGGGAAGCTTCGTTTCACAGTCCCACCTTCGACAGTATGGGGATCCCTTCGACAGTATGGGGAGTGCCAGAAAATGGGACGAGAGGGCAGAGACGTGGAGATCGCTTATGTAAGCCGTTTGAGCCACATTGAGCCACTGTGACCAAAAAGATATCCCCCCAAGAATCAAGGACCCTCAAAGGTGAAGGTTTTGAGGGTCCAAACCCCTGCTATGCAGGGTCCAAACCCTCCATAGGAGGGTCCAATGATTCTTAAGGCCCAAAACATGCATGGACTTGTGGCAGGGTTGGCTGGACGATCCAACTAAACATTTGAGCACAAAAGCCCTTGGAAGTCCTCCCTTCAGGAGTATTTAGAGTGGCCATTAGGGGCATGCAAGTATTCAAAGGCGGGTGCGAACTAGAATAAGGAGCCCCTCGCCCCAATGTTTTTTTTCCTGAGTGAGGGTTTCCTTTGGCGAGAACACCGTGAATGAAGAGTTCCGGTTTTCTGGATGTTCAGATCGGACAAGTGGAAGAACGCAGATCCTTTGTTTTATTTCTAATTCTAATGTCTTGTTATGTCTTGTTACTAGTAGTAAGGCCACGAGCCCCGATCGTAGCGTCCTTGCTACATTCCCACTATTTGAAGCCCTTCCACCTGTTGGATTTTGGACCCCTGGGCAACTCCGACCAAGGCCTCGGCCTCCGTCTCCATCCTTGGCATCGTGGGACGCTTCAGGCGACGCGGATGCGGTTTGGACAGGGGGGAGGGATATATATATATATATATGAGGGCCGTCCGTTATTGCCAGTGAAGGAATTTCGATCAAATGTTAAAACACACATGTCGCGAAAGGGAAACTGCAGTCCGCGAAAGGCCGGCGATAGGACAGCGAAAGACATGTGCCAACCTAGACTTACATACAATGTGCATAATACATGACACATCCTTTTTCCCGAACAGAAACATGGATTTTCGCGAAAGGGCTGCGAAAGGCCGGCGGTAGGCCCGCGAAAGGGCGCATTGCCTGGAAGGGCATCTGCCCATCCATGGCCTTGAAATAAGCCTTGAAACATTTGTTTCAAGTATGAATTGACAAAGGGTAATTAGCCTGCTTCTCAGCGCACTAACAGGTATTTAGATATCCCAAACACTGTGAACTCAGTGAAGCTCATCACAATGCGCGAAAGGAAAACCTGTGGTTTTTCTGCAAACGCGAAAGGGTCGCGAAAGGCCGGCGATACAAGCTCAAAAAGAATAGCTTTGTTGGACAACTCCCATATATATATATATATCTATAGGATGTTTGTGATATAACGTTATAGGAGGTTATATATGGGTGTTCCTATCCGTTCACGTAAAAGGGTCGGCCCTGGTCAGACCTGACCGTCCGGAGATGCGAACGAGTGACCGTGACCCTGACAGATATACCACCCGTACGTGCAGCGAAAAGGGGCAGGAAAAACAGCCACGAAACTGCCACAGGTGAGGTTTTTTTTTTTCTGCAGTTTTCTGAAAAATGCAGGTCATGAGTCGTGGAATAAGTGGTTCTTTGGAGCGATTTGGAGGCGGCGCACCTCCAAGTTGGTTGAGGGGCACCACTTAGTACCACTCTCAATTCGGGTCAACGCTGGCCAAGTGTCGCTTCCACATTCCCGGTTTTTCCATGAGGATCATGAGGAACCAAGGTGTCGTATGCCAAGGGGCCTGAAGCCATCACTGAACTAGCAACCTGTATGGTGATATGTTCATGGCAGTCTACCATTCTACCATTTATGCATTGGATTCCTCAGGGATCTTTATGGTCTCCTATACCTAGACCCTCCCGAGGCAATAATTTTTGCCGTAGGCTGTTGAGGCAATAATTTTTGCCGTAACTCATTTTTTCTGCCGTTGCTCAATCCCTGGAAAGCGAAAACGCCGTCAGAGAAGTGAAAACGCCGTCACAAAAGAAGAATCGCCGTTTTGCTTGATCTACCAAAGAGGATATTGTTTTGGTCCGTCCATACCCTGAAATGAAATTGCCTTCTCCTTTTAGTAGAGCTCATCGTTGTCAAGCCTCATGGTAGCACTTCTCAAGATGTTGCAGCCCTTGTCTAAGGTCTTGATTGACATCACGGCAGGATTTGTTCACATTTTGATCATGCAATGGCTGAAAGGCTCGCTTGTGACATGTTGTGACAAGTCTTGCTGCCACCTTGAGTCCCCCCCCCCCCAGGGTAAGGGAACGACGCCGTAAGTAGGGGGAAAACGCCGTAAGTACGGGGAAAAACGCCGTAATAAAACGCCGCAAGTACGGGTAAGAACGCCGTAACTTTAAACGCAAAATCTTCTGCAACGCCGTGCAAGAGGTCAAGTTATCCGCGAAAACCGACGAACACCCAGCATGTGACACTTCCATCAGCTGCCCTTTCCACTTCACATGACTATGCGAGTTTGCTGATATAATAAGACGCCTTTTACGTTCAGTTGCCTTTCAAGCAAGACCCTACAATGTTTTCATACTCGCCTGCACTAAAACTAAAACGAAATGACTCTTTGAGGCGCATGGATGTGTGGACCAAAATTGCCGTCAACTGACCGAAGCTGCCGCAGTTCATCAAGAAACGCCGTCCCCATGAGATCAATATGGAAGAACGCCGCAGAACGGAAAAAGGCGACGTTTCATGAAAACGGCAATTATTATTGCCGTAACGAAGTTCCAGGTATTACATCAGGAGGATGAACTTTTGCCTATAAGTTCTGTGTTGCCCGTTCTTCTTCCTTTTTGATGAACTTGCTTGTCACCCCGCATCACTTAACCCTGTAGGGTTCTTGCTTGTTTACAACTTCACATGCACTTACAGCTTCAATGAACCAACAGTCCAAGAGAGGTGCCGTGCAGCCAGACCCAAGACAGCGACAGGTCTGGCGGTCTGGCTGCGCGTCTTCCAGCGCGTAAACCGCGGGTTCTTCGGTTCTTCGCTCTGGTCAGCTGCCGCGCCACGAGGCTCTTTGGTTTGCGCGCGTTGGACCCGGAGGAGCTCTTTTGGTGCGCCTGGCAAGCGCACCTCTTGCGACGGCCGGATCAGCCTCTTGGCCGCGATGGGGAGAAGGGTTTCACTGGCGACGCGAAGGATGGAGAGACACATGAGGGAAAGAGTTCGTGTGGAATGTGTGCAATATGATGACATTAACCACTGAAACTACATGAATGTATAGTATAGGTAGAACGGTATAAATATGAGACACATGGAAATCATTGAATGTTTGGGCAAATTTGGGGCATGATATTTCATTTCATGTTGACATGTTGTGGCTCATTGAGAGATTGTCTCAAGAGTATCAGTGCAAAAAGACCAGCAGTCCTGTGTCGTTGGGGCCAACAAGTTCAATCCACATGCACAATAAGGAGTTCACTGTTTTTTGCGACCAAACGTTTGGTGTCCACCGTGCGAACAAGAGGTCACAATGTTGTGATTTCTCACGAAAAACGATAAGAACTGTGCCCTGCCTGCCACTGCTCAAGAGGAAATGGATCCACTCATTTGAATCTGTATCTTTGGGAGCTTGCTACTTTGTATGTAGACGTTGGCTTGGCTTAGCTGACACGCTGAAAGAAATCCAAACTGGTGTCATTGAACTGAATGGTTGTATGGTGCATTTGATGTATGCCGATGACCTTCTTATCGCCAATCGCTTTGAACACGAGTTGCAGCAGCAGTGTACGCAACTTGAGCAGGCATCTGAAACGGATGGCTTGAGAATCTCTTATCAGAAAACTATCCTTGCTGTTTTTAGACGTGGTGAGCGAGGTAACAACACATGGAAGACCTGTGGGAAAAGGGGGCAAATAGAGGATGGAATAGAGGAGTCATCCTCAAGTATTTAGGTTTCTTTGCTGACGCTTCGGGGTTTGACTCACATTGGCAACATCTTGCCAAAAGAGTCGGGGCAGCAGCTGGCAGTTTGTTGCAGACGTTTCAGAGTACCCATTGATGACCATATCTATGAGGTGTTGCACTTTTTGGTGCTGAAATCTGGGGCTGGAATCCTGGAAGCGGGCTAGAGCTGTTGAAAAAGCTGAAGAAAAAGCACCGTGTCCTTAAGAGAAAGCGCATGCTCGAACTTGGCGCCTGATGCCATGCTTTGGCTGCGGTTTTTTACCTCTTTGAGTCTGCTAAGCTTGCCTTTAAAAACGGTGATTCGCTGGAGCTTGCTGCGCAGCATTGGAAGAAAGCCTACCGACAGAACAACAGCGGATGGTTCGCAGACATGATTGCTCTGAAATCAGCGATGTTGGGATTTTGCAGGACATATGTGGGGCACACAGTGTTTTGGCTTGGGATGCAGCTAGGGCATCCTTTTGGAAAAAACCTTTCCTTGACAGATGCTCTATGAAGGCTTGCCATGATTT